GGGCCCTGATCGGGGCAGTGGTCAAGTAAGCTCCACGGTGGGCCCGTCCTCCAGGCCCCTGGGCTGAGCTCACCTCCGTGACCGAGCCTCTCCTGGTCCCAGCTGTGCCAAGCAGAGGAGCTGCAGCCACCTTGGAGGTCGGATCTGGGGTCCTAACACCATATTGGCACGACCAACCAGTTCTCAAAGTGCTGCCCATTTGCGGTCGGGCAGCCAAGGGCCCTCTGGTGATGTGGAGCCTGAGAGCCATCCTGTCTCAGCAAGGAGCTAAGAAGCTATGAGACATTTAATCCAGCCCCATTCATTCATTCATGCATTCATTCGGTAAACGTTTGCAAAGCACCTACCATGTGCTGTGCATTGTATTAGTGCCAGCTTAATACTGTATACTGGGAACTGTGTGGTGAACAAAACAGAAATGATTCTGGTCCTCATAGACATCAGTATTTTTGGAGGGGTGAACACACGCAAAACTTACAGAATATGTAAGTCTGAACCGTGATAAGTGAGAGAAGGCAAGAACAGGACATGCAGTTACAGACCCGCGTTAGGTCAAACCTGGTCTGACAGTGCAGGTATGAGTGACACAGGTGAGGTCCTAGTCACATATAAATACCCAGAATGCCTGTATCCTCCCTGGGTTTCCTTATCAATAATACATGCCAAAATAAAGTGAAAACCATGTAAAGAGAGTCTGAAATCTGGCCAGTATTGAGATTAGCTGGTGAATCCTGATGTTAATGAAGTCATTAAATTTGATAGTCTCTGTGTTTGTAAACTCAGAGATTCGAACAGGTGACACGTTTGAGGAGCATCTCCCGTGTCAGGCACTGTGGTGGGCACGGGGGTCCCCGGGATGTTAACTGTTAGCTGGAAGCGAGCACTCCCGCCTGCCTGCTTGGCGCACCCTCATGGTGACTGCTCATGCTGCGCCACGTGAGGGATGGCCAGGCTGCAAAGTCCTGCTTGTCTGTTTGGTTTTGCTTCAAAATTTGACCTTGTTGCCAGATTTGTGTTGAGATTAACCTGACAATGTCCCCAATGTGGTTCATTGTACGGTGGGTTAGGATTTCACACTTGGCGAAGTGAATTATCCTACATCTTGGTGAAGCAGGCACAGAAGGGGAGGTTTGCGTGGCAGAAAAATCTCTTTTTAGATTAAGCAAAATAGAATTCATGCTTGAGAAAAGAGTGCTATTTCTGTCTCCAATCTGATTTTGTACCCATTATAGTTTTAAGCTCTGTGTCCTATTCCAGAGCAAAATTCTCCCCCCCCTTCCCACCCCTTATCATCTCCTCCCCTTCCTCCTCCCACCCCCTCATTGCTACTTCTCCCCACTCCTCCTCTGTCTCTTCATCTCCCCCCCTCCTCTTCCCACCCCTTATCATCTCCTCCCCTTCCTCCTCCCACCCCCTCATTGCTACTTCTCCCCACTCCTCCTCTGTCTCTTCATCTCCTCCCCCTTCTCTCCCCCCTTATCACCTCCTGCCCCCTCCTCCTCTCCCCATCCCTCCTCATCTCCTCCCCGCTCCGCTCCTCGTCCTCTCCCCTTCTTCCCACCTCTTCTCCACTACTCCCTTCTCCTTCTCTACCCTCTCGTCCTTCTTAAATCAATCACCTTTATTTGGCTTTGATTTGGGGTGCAGTAGCCATCAGGAGATTTAATGTTAGAGGAAAATCAGATAACCTTGGAGCTGCTGACCTAATCTATAGGAGTTCCTCCGTTTTTCTCTATAAAATGGGAATGATACAATACCACGTGTATTTATTTGCACAGGTATTTATTTTTGCCAGTCTTCTGGCTTCTGTGAGGAATAAAAAAGGAATGAATAGGACAATATCCTCCCTCTTGGCAGCTTCCTATTTCAATGAGAACCTCTTATCTGATGGAGCTTTCTATCCTAAGACCCTCAAGATGGAGCATAGTTCGCGGCTGTATGTAATTGAAGGCGAGCTAGAGAGGCACAAACTCCAAGTGCTGGCAGAGTCTGGGGTCAGCGTGGGCTGGAGAGAGGCTCCATAGACAGTGCGGTGATTAAACTGAGTCCTGAAGCTTGGAAAGATCTGGAATTGGAGGGCAGGGCGCTCCTGATCCTGATGGTTGGAGAATGGGCGTGGTCATAGGACCACCCCGTCTCTTGCCTAATTCTGTTTCTGTGCTAGTGGATACCTGCCTTCTTTTTTTTTTTTTTCCCCAAAGATTGGCACCTGGGCTAACAACTGTTGCCAATCTTTTTTTTTTTTTTTTCTGCTTTATCTCCCCAAACCCTCCCTGTACACAGTTGTATATCTTAGTTGCACGTCCTTCTAGTTGTGGGATGTGGGACGCCGCCTCAACGTGGCCTGACGAGTGGTGCCATGTCCGCGCCCAGGATCCGAACCCTGGGCCGCGGCAGTGGAGCGCGCGAACTTAACCACTCGGCCACGGAGCTGGCCCCAAGACCTGCCTTCTTGTTTTCCCACCTCTCCCTCTCATGGCAGCCCCTTCCCACAAACCTTTTGGTATCAGACCTTCTCTCTCCTCTTTCCTCTCACTGGAAGTACCAGCCTTGTCACTGTGCTTGTCATACGGGAGTTTCCTTTGGCCCTCCCAGGAGAACCAGACGTTCCAGCACAACGAAGCAGTGAGCGTGGGGGCCCGGGCTCAGAGCTCGCGCTGGCCGATGTCTGGGTCCTGCTCTGCCCAAGGCTTGTGAGTGGGCAAGTCAGTGGGCAGGGGGAGCCTCCGAATCCTCTCTCGTAAACTGCGGGTGAGAATGCCGACCTTGCAGGGCTGTTTTCAGGATGAAATAAAACAGTGTCTGGGTAGAAGGACTGGGGCAGGTAGACACTCCCCCAAAACACTAGTTCCAACTTTTCCCCAGTTCATTTCAGCTAACACGAGGGCAAAGAGGCCAGGGAGGTGGAGAGGGAAAGCGCTCCCACTGTGGGAGCTGATCGTGCTGGGCTTGCTGCCCGCTTCCATTCCTGGTTCCTGGTTCCTGGTTCCTGGTTCCAGGAGACGTGGCTTGTGGACCAGTGACTTATCCTCTTGAAGCTACAGTCTCCTCGTCTGTAAAACAGAGATATCCAGAGGGCTGTGCTTGGCATGAAGTTAGACAACGCATGCGAAGTGTTGCACCCGGTGGATGGCATCACCATCATGGTGACCACGGCCGAGCCAAGGCCGCAGAAATTGTACCTCTTGGTGGCATCAGGCAGAACCTTAGAAAGATGGTGAAACAAGTTGAAAGAGATGAGTCATCTCTAGAACTCTTGACAAGGAGTCTTTCCCCATCTCTCATAAAGGTCTCTGCAGGCAGGAAGCGGGTTTGGAACAGGACCCTGGAGCCCCAGGATGACTGATTTTCTCGAGTTGCCCTTTGAGGCTTGCACACAACATCCTGCCTCCCTCAGAATTCACACATCGCCAAGAGCTCATCACGTATCAAGAAGAGAGTAACCAAACCCGGGGCAGCTGGCATTCTGGGGCCCTCTGTCTGCTAACCTTAAAGACAATCCCAGCACGCTCACAACACCCCGCCAGCCCGCTTCAGGAGCCCGGGGACAGGAGCACGCTCCGTGCCTGCTTGTTAGAGTGACAGCAGCGGAGATCAAAGTTTAACGCACCGATTCTCTCTCTGTTTTCAGGTGCCCGCAGGATTGAATGCCTCACCCAAGGAGCCCACAGAGGGTGGTTGGGTGGAACTGAAAGAGGAAGGAGAGGTCAACCCTGCTGCATCTCAGTGAGGGCTCTGAGTGCCCCGGCCTTCCCTGGGCCTCAGCTGTAGGGCCCGCTTCAGCTGTTTCCCCACTTCTCAGGTCCATGGGGGTTTGGCAGGCGGGAGGAACAGCACAGAGGGACCCAACCGGAATAAGCCCCCAGCAATGGAACTGCTTGCAGGAAAACCAAAGGAATACCTATCTGGACATATTTTCCTGCTTCTAGGCTGACTTCGAATGCATGGCACAGACAGAGCCTGCCCTTATTATGAGAAATAATAAGGGCCACGAAGCTGATATGGGGCAGGAATGCGCTCGCCTCCTCCCCTTTAATGACGTTCAACAGCAGTAATTGTTATCACTGTAAAAACAACAAAAGCAGCTTGCACCAACTGAGCGCTGACCACGTGCCAGGCAGTTTTCTAAGCACTTGACACGCGTGAATGCATTTACTCCTCACCACAACCCTGTGAGGTAGGGTGCTGGCATCCCCATGTTATAGAGGGGGAAACTGAGGCTCGAAGAGCCATTGCAAGAACCAGGAGATAATATTCTTAGGGCAATGTGGTCCCAGCCATCGAAGAGCCTACAGTCCAGTTGTTATTTTGAGGAGTGCATAAATGCATAAATTCGTCACTAGCTGTAGGCAGACCATGACGCATGACATCAACACAAATAAGGGGCGCAGAGGATCTGAAAGGAGGGCTTGTCTGAGCCTGGAGAGGTTGGCAGGTTCCAACAGTAGATCCAGATGGAAGGAGAAAGGGGGCGTGACCAGGCAGAGGTCATTGCTCACACAAAGGGCCGGAAGCAAGTCTGGACAAAAGGAAAGAATCCCAGGGTGCCAGGACCGGTGTTCGTAGAAGGTCTGGCTAGAAAGGGGAGGTGGGGCTGAGTTGGGAAGGCTTGAATGCCGTGTAGAAGGGACTGGATCTTTTTTGGTCAACTGTAGGGAACAACTGAAGGTTGGAGCCGTGATGGCCCAGGACTCTGCTCTTTCGCTTGGCTTAGGAAAGGAAGTGGGAAGAAGGAAAGTGACCTTTGGAGACAGGCAGTTCTGATTTCAATCTTGATTTTCCCCATGAATTTGTTCTGCGTCCTTGAGGAGGTTATTCAACTTTTCTGAACAAAGAGCATACTTACATGCATTTCCTAGGCTTCTGGAGAGAACTGAATATGATAATGTATATACAGAGTGAGATACATTGTAGGTGTTCCATGATGGTGGCCAATATTATTACTTATTAAAAATATGAATTCTCCTGTTTCTTTTCTTTTTTTTACTTGTTTCCAAAAGCCTTGCCTTCCTAGGACCTGTCCTTCTGAAACTGAGAATATGAAGATCTACCTTCTCTTTCTGGATGAACTCCTACTCAGCTCTCAAGACCCATTTCAAAAGTTCCCTACACTGCAAAACCTTTGCCAGTTTCCACAGTGCGAAGCAAGTTGCTCTCTCTGCCGTGCCTCCAGCCTGGCCCTCATCATATCGTGTAGTAATTGTGTCTGTTTGTGGTCTATCTTCTCAGCCGGATTGGGAGTTTCTGGAGGTATGGAAACTGCCTCACATCCTTAGCTTAGCAGGTCTCCAAGTGTGGTCTGCAGACTGTTGGGGGTCCCCCAGACTCTTTCATGGGGTCCTCGAGGTCAAAACTATTTTCCTAATAACTCTGGGACATGTTTGTATTTTTCATCCTGTTGACATTTGCACTGGTAGTGGGTAAACTGCTGGCATCTTAGTACAAATCCAAAAAGTAGCGCTGGTGTGTACAAGGAGTCATCATCTTCTCCACTAGCACACACCCTCGTTAAAACACACGCCAGTTTCACTTCTTAAGAACGTCCTTAATGAGGCAGTAAAATGATTAACTTTATGAAGTCTAGACCCTTGAGTACGTGTCTTTATAATAATCTGTGTAAAAAAAGTGGGAAGTGCATATAAAGCACTTTGGCTGCATCCGAAAGCACAGGGTTGAAGGCAACGTCAAGCAAAAGCACATGTGTGATTGTTTGAATTGTGAGCTGAATTACTCATTGCTTTTTTCATGAAAGAACAACTGACAAACCCTGGTTATTGAGATTTGGGCCTGTGGCGGATGTTTTCCAAAAACATGGACTAGGTGAGCCTGTCACTTTAAGGAAAGCAACTGGCAGTATTTGTTGCCAATGATAAAATTCAAGCTAAGTGAAATCAGGTTTGGAAAACTATCTGCTATGGTGAGCTTGACATCTTCCCATGAAACATCTCTGATGAGAACTGTGGTGGTACTAATGATTTTGAATTGCGGATGCTGTCTAGGGAAATCCATCAATATTTGGAAGATCTACATGAGTCAGTGAGGCAATCGTTTTCAAGTGAACAATGAATGTCATAATATCATGCATGTGGAAAAGATCCATTCAAAGTGCAAGACAGACCGGTGGGTTTTAATGTGACAGAGTAGAAAAGTTCATTGACGGGGTTTACAGATTTTGCTTTGCAGCCACACTTTACCACTTGTCAAGTTTTGGTGAAGTACCAGAGAATATGCATGGTTATCTGAGAAGGCTGTTAAAGTACTTCTTCCTTTTCCAACTACATATCTGTGCAAGGCAGATTTTCTTTATACATTTTAACCAGAACAAGATATTGTACCACACTGAATGCAGAAGCAGATCCGAGAATCCAGCTGTCTTGATTAAGCCAGACATTAAAGAGATTTGTGAATATACAAAACAATGCCACTCTTCTCATTATTTCTTCATTCTGTAAAATATAGTATATTTTCATACATGTTACATGTGAACGTTGTAATGAGTTTGTTATTATTTTTAAATTAAATTAAATTTTTTTTGGTGAGGAAGATTGGCCCTGAGCTAACATCTATTGCCAATCTTCCTCGTTTTCCTTGAGGAAGATAGTCACTGAGCTAACATCTGTACCAATCTTCCTCCATTTGTTGTACATGGGAAGCCACCACAACGTGGCTTGATGAGTGGTGTGTAGATCTGTGTCCAGGATCCAAATCCGTGAACCCCGGGCCACAAAGTGGAACACGTGAACTTAACCACTACACCAGCAGGCCAGCCACTATTGTTATTTTTTAATGAATGAGTAAATGAAAATGTGTAATCTTTGGTTTTAATTTCTTATGTGGTAAGTAGAAGCTAAAGTGCTTTGGGGTCCTCAGTAATTTTTAAGAGGGTAAAGGCATCCCAACCCCAAAGATTTTGAGAACTGCTGGCTCATGGCCTGGCACATGGTAGGTACTCACTAAATATGTGTGCTGTCCAGGCTTTTAGGGGTGATGACAGGCCAGGCTGCCTGGTCCCAATGTCAGTCTCTTTCCCGTTCTTTGAAGGACAGTGTCCGGACTGCCTGTGGCTCTGAGCAGGGGCTGGATGTGTGACCCTGGAGCTCCTTGAAATCGAGTTCCGCTGCCTGGTTTATGTGAGGCAGGATTACCGCGAGCCCTCAAGTCCACATTGCAGTCGCCTCTGCAGGCTGCAGCTTCTACCTCCATTCGTTTCCACCTTTCTGGCTGGGTTCAGGCCAGGCTGGGAAGCCCACGGAATTGCTGAGACAGTAATTTGCAATTAGATGTAAGAAATGTTAGGAGTCAGGCCTGGCGCAGATGCAGGCTATTTTTAAAGATGGGCCATTTAAGAATAGAGGGAAGGTGGACCACTTACCTTGGGCTGCCTCTACCTGGCTGGGGAAGATGCCTCCTGCATGGGGGGAAATGCCCATCCTGTTCTCCTTCTCAAAGGCAGAAAGAGGTGGCGGAGCTGTGCCCCTTCCCTGACACCCTGTAATGCCGTCTCCCTTCTCCTTCCTGTCTCCTTCCCCGGCTGATCCCTGTGGGCCTAAAAGGCAGCGACTTCCCGGCGGCCTGAGTGGCTGCCTGTCATTAGAGTGGAGGCCAGGATACACTAGAGGAAACAGTAATGGGGCCTGGGAACAAAGCTAATTAGCTAATGTACCAAAACATGTAAATAAAGAAACCCAACCACCTCCAAGGCACTCAGGGCTTGTGGAGAGTGAGGTGCCCTGGGGGCTTCAATGCCACCAAGGCCCTTTGTGAAAGTCTAATGCATCCAGGCTCCCTTCGCTTGGGTCTCAGTTAGGAAGAGACTATGGGGGACACAGCTGGTTGCAACTCTGACTGGGGACAAATGCTTTTCTAGGGGTCTTAGGTGGAGTTTCCCAGCAACAGACTGAGACAGATGGCGTTGGGGACCACACCTGTGAGGGACTGATGGCAGCAGGGCTGACAAAGTTGGGCTGTGACACACCTGCCGCAGAGGCCTCAGCTGACCCGCCCCACCCCCCACCAAGTTGCTCAGGAGCTGGGGCGGCCCTGCAGAGTTGTCCTGAATTGAATCAAGGGGTCAGTCAACCCCTGGTAGCAACCAGGCTGACTGACCCCTGGGGAGCAGCCAGAACCTAAGCCCACGCAATTCTCTTCAGTCTAGTGCAATTCCCAGTGAAGAGCTCAGCAAGGGCCATCAGAGCCAAAGGAACCAGAAGAGCTGGAAGCCAGAGGAACGAGTGCGTGGGTCCCGATGGGCGGTCTGGACAGTGAACCACGGCACTGCCCGCAGAGGCCACTGGAGGCCATTTGTGGATGCAGGGAGCAGAGAGGTGCTAGTCACAGCCTTGGGGGGCCTGAAAACAGCAAGTTTCATTTTCAAATGAAATAAGTATTGCTTCAAAGGAAACATGGAAGATAACGCACGTCTGTTGAATGGGTGAAAGAATGAATAAATAAATGAGATTATATATATATATTTTCTCTTGGGCAGGTGCTTAACTTTTCTGTGCCTCAGTTTTCTCATCTGTAAAATGGGAATAATCATGGCACCGTCATCATAGCTGTTTTTGTGAGGATTAAACAATTTAATATATGTAGATGCTTAGAACAGTGCCTGGTGTGCAATAAGGACTATATAAATGTTGGCTATGATGGGAACTGTGGCAGGGGTTGGGGTTATCACTGTAATGTGAAGTGCTCACCCACCATGGCAGGCCTAGGTACAGCCGTGGATTCAAGGTCTCCAGCGAGCACACCAGCACTCTGCAGGAAACCGTGGAGGCACATGGATGGTTGGGGTGTGGCTCAGGTTTTGGCTGGGACAGTTTCTCAAAGTGTGGGGCCACCAGGAATATCTGGGTTCTCTTTAGTGGGGAGCGCAGACAAAGCATGAAAGAGAGTGCTGTCTTGTGTCAGTCCTCTCTCGATCCTGATTTGATGAGGGAGAAAGCCTCAGGCTGGCGCTGGCTTGTCCCTAACGCCCCTCACACTTACTATCCTCTTTAACAACAAGAGCAGGCTGCAGACAGCACCATCCGGGCAGAGGGCCTGGCAGGGCTTCAGCAGCATTATCTGGCTTTCAGTATTCTTATTTTTATGTGACCATCTATTTATAGTAAGTGAAATCGATTTTCCAATTACTGTTGTGAGAGAAAGATTCTTCTTCACATAAATTTTATACAATAACAACCAGTGAGTAGACTTAAAGGAAAATGTGAAATAAGTAAGAGCACAGGTTCTACATGGATATGCAGAAATGCTAGGGGTTGATGTGAGGGACTCCAGTTTGGGAAGCGCTGGGTTGGAGGGAACAGACAGGCGGGGTTAGGGAGGCAGAATCAGCGGGGCTGGAACCTGCCTCAGTTCCTTTGCACAGTTTAGGCCACAGGGAATGGCTTTGCCTTCTTGTCTCTGTGTGTTCTGAGCCAACACACCCTTCACATCCTGGCTCCAGGGCCACTCCCTTCACTGAGCTCTCCCCGCTTCCCGCCCAGGTGAAAGTGACCTCTCTCCCTGCTCTTTTCCCATGGTACTCTGGGGCAGCAAGACTTTTCTGTTCTACTGGAGCGGCACACACCAAATTCCAGTCATTTGTGCCTCGCACAGCACAGAGCATACCTCAGGTACTCAGTAAATGTTTACTCTGAATCTGCACCTCACTAAACCATGGCCGAATGATAAGCATGTGCACTGATCTAGGTAAACGTAGCCAGAGAAGGAAAATGCAGCAAAGCACTGTGGGACCACCAGCTGCCAGGTGCATGGGCCTCCTGGGATTTCAGACTTTGTAGTGCTCATACGTAGTTCAAGCTAAACTTGATAGGAGGTGGGCGTGAGGACTGGGCAGTGAAGGACAGAGGTGGGCAGCTGCTGCCCCTATTTCTGGGAGGTGCTGTCGGCTCCTAATGGACCTGTGAGCCCATCAGAGCTGACGTCTGCCATAGCTTGTATCCTGTCCCCAGAAGACATACGCTCATATCAGAGCCACTCACTCTCCTCCTCCCCACTCAGGACTCTGCCACGTCCTCCTCCCCATCACAGGTGATCGGTCTGGTAGTGTTAGCCTCTGATCAGGAGGAAAGAGAAGCTCTGAACCAGTAGTCTTCTCTCAACATGATGAAGACCTTCTTTCTGTTTCCATTTGGGGAGAAACAGTCTGGCCTGGCGGAAAGCTCCCCGGTGCTCTGATGTCGTGCAGACTAGGATTTAAAACCCAGCCCCTCCATCGACGGCTTTGTGACTGCGGGCAAGTGACTGCCCCGCTTGAAGTCTCGGGTCTCCCTTGGGGATCCCTGCCCTCCAGGTTGTACCTTGGAGCTGGCATGGTGATGAGTGTGTGGCAGGAGTTCTGGTTCCCTTGCCTGATATGCTCCGAGGTTGCAGTGGGTTGGGGCTGGCATGGCCGGGGAGAAAAATGCTAAAGGGGGGGTGCTCCTGCCCCCATTGTAAAGATTGCAAATGAAGAGTGAGACTCTGTTAAAATGGAAAATCCAGGATTTGTAGTTCTCAAATTTTAGGGAGCATACACACCTTCGGAGGATGCTTGCTAAAATCCAGATTCCTGGATTCCTGGGTGGGGCCGGAGAATGCATTTTAAATAGCTCCTCAGGTATCTACTGCAGGTGATTCCCAGGAACACCTCTGAGAACCCTGCCCTAGATCACAGGGCTGCATCATCTAATGCAGAGGTCATGGACAGGGGACCACCACTCAAAATTGGGAGATTTTTCCATTTATATGCAGATTTCTAGTTCCTTGGGTAAATCTGAGGCATTGGCAGTCCTGGGCCTGCTTTCCCACTCGACAAGAGGTGGGAGCTGAGTTGCTGCCTTCAGATGGGGCTGCTGTCTCTGGGACCCCATTTATTTAAAGTCCTGGCCCAACCCCTAGTGTCCCTTGAGTTTGTGGCCCCTGGTTGGTCCAGTGCCCTATCCCCACAGATCAGGAAACTGAAGTCCTGAGCCAAAATGGCTCAGGCATGGAGAGCCAGCTTTGGATGCCCCAGTCAGAAGGGACCTCCAAAGTCTTGCTGTGTCCACTGAGACCTGAGTGGGGAGAAGGAGCTGGTGGGTGAAAGGGAGAGGAGAAGGTGGGTGCGGGTGCTCCAGGGAGGGGAAAAGCGTGTGTGAGTCACAGACGGCAGAGAGCGGGTGTGTTGGTGGGGCCAAGAGGCCCGAGGGAGACGGGAGGTGGCGGTGGATGTGAGAGGTGAGGTGGAGAGTGGGCCAGGTAGACCAGGCCGACATGAGAAGCTTCTGGGCCGTGATGAGTATAAAGTCTACAGGGGCAGAGAACTGACTGCAGCATGGTAGACAAGGGGTGGCCACTGAGGCAGGCACAGAGCTCAGCAAGGGCACAGGATGGGCCGGGGGTGGGGGGTGGGGAAGCGGGATGGACGGGAGTCTGTCTTCGGT